GAACGCTAGACACTTCAGCGGAACTCGTTTCTCCAACTAAATTCGTTCCGGAAGGCTGTTCGAGAAGTGATTTATTCGAAAACGGAATCATTTTTCCCATTAGAAAGGAAGTAAAGTGCATTAATCCGTTCCAGACCCCCAAGTGATTCCCTGCTTTAACCTTTCTTATATACAGCACATGTCTAATGTCCTGTTTAATTTATAAATAAACACATCTTTTCTTAAACTTATGGAACCACTCCCTACTGGTCTTAAAGGAATTTTTCACATATCACTACCTCTGAAATGCTGTCACCAGCTAACTGCTTTTCATTTATCCAATCAACAGTTTTTGCTTTTGTTTTTTCCTATTCAATAGCCTGTGATTGTTCTTTTGTGAGCACTTTCACACCCTTAGCAACAACAGCACTCTTGAAGGTCTCTTTATGTTTTAAAATTGTGTAAATCTATGTCGCCAGCAGCAAAAGCATCCTCTCCTTTGCCTGTTGCCTGAGAGAGCTTTCTGTCTTGCTGAGGTTTCAGCAGGAAAGGGTTGTCAGGTTGAAAACTGAAGTTTCGGTGGACAACTGAGACATTTTTTTCTGTGAACAACTTGGTCATGAACCAAATTGTTCGAGATGGAAGACGTTTGAGAAATGAGGTTTGACTAACTCTAATCCACGTGAAGGGAAGAGCACCAGTAGAAGTAACAGGTGATTTCTATAAAAGACAGATACATGTATTTTTTATTGTGACATTTCCTCTCCTATTAGATTTAAAAGGAGACTTCATAAAGCAATAGCAGGTCTGTTGATGGGAATGCAATATATAAAAATATAATTTGTACAACAATAGTACAAATGAGGTGGAGGGGATGGGACTACATACAGGGATGGTATTTACCCAAACTGCGTTGTTAATTGTAATTCCTAGGGCAACCACGAAGAAAATAGATAACATATATTTATGACTATGAAACTACAAGGAAATTAAAATGGTATTCTGGAAACTCTCTACAATATTCACAGGCCCTGTGCTAGGAGCTGGGGAACCAAGGAGTTGGAGACACACGGGTAGGCCAACGTCTCTGCTGTCGTCACATCTAGTCCAGTAACACTCAGTACACACAACACAAGGACCGAGCTGACGGGTGATGACACACGCTGCGCTGTGATCAACCTCGGGGCTCTGACAGGTGCGCGGAGTGGAGCCCACGTGGAGCCCCGGAGGGTGAGAAGCTTTGGGAAGGGGCAGCCTGGGCAGAGGGCGGCAGCACGGAGGTGTCAGGGGGAAGAGCTTTTTCCCGGGAAGCGACCGGGCCCAGGGTGACAGGAGCCTGGCCTCGCTGGCAGGTGAGGTTGAGTCAAGCAGCACAGCTCAGGCGGGGCCTCGAGGACAGGCAGCTCGGCTGTGGACATGATTAAAGGACTCAGCCAGGGAGCAACACAAGACCGTGTTTTCAACAAGTGGACTTGTAAGTACTTTGGAGGGTGAGCTATGACAGACCAGCGTGCAGTGGAGACGGAGGAAGTGGGCGGAGGCAAGCGAGGTCCGGGAGGCAGGGCCTTAGCCTTTGCTGGACTGGATGGGCTGGGGTGTGTGTAGGAAAGAGGTAGAGAACGGCCCCAAATCCCCAGCTTTATTAACCGCCGGACAATGGTGTTTTCCCGAGACAGGGTCTAGGGGAGGCCCAGGTTTTCGAGGAAAATCAAGAATTCAATTTCCTAATAAATTGGAGACGCCTATGAGGCATTAAGACAAGGTAAGTCTGGAATCCACAGAGGCCAGCGTAGGAGAGGCAAATTTTGGTCTTCAGGTAACAAGGTAGTGAAAGCTATGTGACTGGATAAAATCAAGGAGGGAGTGGATAGGAAAGGGGTCCGTTTAGAGGAAACACACAGTGAGCTGGGAGGACAAGGGGCTGTGCTGTCAGGGAAACAGACGTCCAAAGAAAAGCAGTTGTCACCTGTCTGCAATGTGAAGGGTCAAGGAAGAAACCAGAAAGCACCCATTGGATTTGGTGACAAGGGGGTGATGAGCAATTCAGGCGAGAGTGCCCTGTGACACGCCGGGGGACGTGCAGGCTCGAGAGGTAAGAGTGGACAGATAATTCAGTTTTAGCAAAATCTCACCACATTAATTTAATTTGTGTAATTTGCATTTATTATGATTTGTGACGTAGTTCTAAATGTCTAGTTTTATATTTACACTGAAAGAACTTGAATAAATTTTAAGACTGCATTACCTTTTATGACACAATGCTTTGTCACTGATTTTAGACTCATTTCGATTTCAAAAATGTTAAGATGTAAAAAAGGCTCAGAAGTGATGAAATACAGTATTAAATAACAAAACATTTAAGTCAAACCTGGCCATTGCAAGAATTTCTTCAGCTCGGATAATACGTTAGCATCGCGGACACAGAAGGCATTTGGTTGACCTTGGCTAATTACTACCAGGGCTAAGGCAGTGTCCCTCCCTGTAGGTAGGGCGCCACCTTCTCCACAGGGGAACATGAGTGAACAGAACCCTAGCGCACGACAGGTTCTATCACCCCCATCCCCACCCCCACCATGGGGGGGCGGGGGGTAATGAGCACCCCATCACGGAAAGTCCTAAGCTATACCACCACTCGGAACCTAACAAGCTCAGGCCATCAGGGGAGTGAACCAACGGTCTGGTGGATGGGATCGCTGCCCTGGGGAGCAGGATGGACCTACCCTGCGGTGTCCTGTGGGAACCCTGGTCAGAGTAGGCCAGATGCTCAAGGCCGATTTAAGTGTGGGGACCTTGTCCAGAGCACAACAGATGTTCAAGGCCAATCTGAGTGTGGGAATCCTAATCACGGTGTTCAAGGCTAAGTTGCTATACGCAGGTGCATAGCAAGGACACAACAATCTACACACGGAGCAGGCGTGCCTTTCTGTAGCCCGAACTATTTGGCACAATGTCTCTTGTCTGAGCTTGTTTATGCTTGTATATAAGTTGCCACTGACCAGCCAGCACAGGGCTGCGTTATGGGGAAGATGTATTCCTGGCCGGCCGGTGCCCAGCTGCTTGGTCGGGCTACTGTGTTTGTATAGCTCCTGTGTTGGAGGCTGCTTTTATGCAGGGCTATGTGTACAGCAGCTGCTTGGTATGGCTCTTGTGTTTGCCATGGCTGCTATGTTAGCAGCGGCTACTGTGTGAGACTCCTTTGAAGAGCTACTTTGTCTAATGGCTACTTAGCAATGGCTACTTGGCTACAATAAAGACTGTCTTATATAACTACCACTTCTCATGTCTTCTGTCCCGGAGGTCCAGTTCCTTGTAGAGGGGCTCAGACCCAACAGTTGGCGTAGTTGAGCAGGTCAAGGAAGAACCTGCTCCCATGTCCCCAGGTTTGGGGTCAAAAGCAAGCTCTACAAGGGTTCAGATTTCTGTTGTGTTTATGACACTTAGAACAGTGTCCAGCACATAGTAGGTGCTCAGAAAACATGTGAACGGTACACATACAGGATATCACACTGCCGCCCAGCAGGAGACCCAGCCCTGTAGGCCCTCCCTGTGCAGTGAACTGTTTCCAGGTGCATGGTCCACCATAGTGCATGCCCACAGACAGCTTCAGAGAAGCTGACGGTGACCCGGCCCGGAGTCAACGTGGTGCATACACTGAGCACCGAGTCTTAACATCAGGCCTAAGAACAAGCCCTGTTAACAAGTCATGATACTATATTGTCAAAATTTATTTTATTTAAAAAGTATTTGGTGGAGGTCTCCTAAAGCTCAAATTTCATCCTGGAATGACGAGACAAATACTTAAACGATCCAAAATAATGGCATATTCTAAAAACAAATTTTCATTAAAAAATTAGTCACAAAGCAAAAGTACATTTTGTTAGTAACATTTCCTAATGATAGCAATGCCCTGTGAAATTTAACTGGGACGGGGCAGCATTTAACGCACAGCTGGGCTTGAACCGACTCCCAGGGAGTGGGAGCTGCCACATCAGACCCGCTCTCCTTCAGCTGCGCCTCCGAGCGGGCGGGAGGCGTGCGGCTGGGCCTGGAGAAGGCTCATGAAGCCCCCCCACACCCCACTTACTGGGCAATAGTCCCCATTCTTTAAACTACTGGAGGTTTGGGGATGGCGACAGGCAAATATCTATGCTCTAGGTCAGATGCTGTCTGCATGGGACGTAAAGCACAACATTGGGAATAGAGCCCATGGTGTTCTAATAGCATGTGGGTGTCAGAGGGGTGCGAGAGCTATCGGGCGGGTGATCACTTAGTAAGTTATGCAATCGTTAGTCACTGGGTGGACACCTGAAATTAACATAATGTCTATCAACCGTAATTGAAAAATAAAAATAACGAAGTAAATCAGATCCCGTCTGCCATGGACATCAAGCTAAGCATAAGGAGGGACAACAGCCCTAGCCGGTTTGGCTCAGTGGATAGAGCGTTGGCTTGCACACTGAAGGGTCCCAGGTTCGATTCTGGTCGAGGGCACATGCCCGGGTTGCCGGCTTTATCCCCAGTAGGGGCGTGCAGGAGGGAGCCAATCGATTCTCTCTCATTGACGTTTCTCTCTCTGAAATCAGTAATATATTTAAAAAAGGAGGGATAGTAAGTGTCTCTAACATCTCTTTCCTTCATGCAGCTGAGATAAGCAGTTGGGCGAGGAGAAGGCTTTGCCAAGTAACCGCCACAGCCCCCCCTGCAGGAAGCCCTCCAGTGAAGGCTGGGATGGGGGCCTCTGAGGGTGGAGAGAGAACAGCCATTATCGGGAGTGACTCCCTCACAGACCCCCAAGGCCACTCAGCTTTAGTGAACAGAGATCCCTCCCCAATTCTGGCAGTCAACCCCACCGTCACTGCCATCCAGTGGGCCTCGCTGATAACCCGAGGGCCCCACTGGCCTCCACCTGTAGCCACATCCTCCACCAGCTCCTGGAATCCAACCTGAGCCTTCCTGGGGGCGGGAAGGAGCCCTCACCGGACATGGTTTTCTTTAAAAGCCATACTAAGTAGCGCGAGGGATTAAGGTTTGCAGCTATTTTATTTACAAGTATACATTTAACACAATGAAATAAACACTGATATATGGAAGCCTAGTTAATAGTAGTGTAACAATATGCATCTTTGATGATTACATTATTTTAAACATCAAACTACACTTAAAAATTAATGCCGATAAAATTCTTGGTCATAATATTATTAAGAAATACAATATATAAATTGAAAATATGATTGCTTAAAATTTGAAAGTGGAAGTGAACTCAGAAGGATAGTCAGAGTTCAACATAATCTGAAAGGGGGGCAGGTGGGAAAAAGCTCTGACCCAAATAAATCTTTCAGGTTAACAGAAGGAAAACGAAGCAGAGTTTATCTTCGAGGATGACGGGCAGTTTGCGTCTCCGGGCAGGACGGGTCCCAGTGGCCTCGGGCCCCGCAGCAGAATTACATCACCGAGCAGGAAGACTTTCCTTGTGAAGCAGCCCCATCAATTTTTTCTGCCTCCAAAATTATCCTTCTGAACACATCAACAGCAGTCTGAAAAAGAAATAAAACGTGACTGTTGGCTTTACAGCGGAAGCCTGAGACTCACTCTTACCGCTGCTGCCAGGACTGGAGAAGGCCCGCTGTCCGCCCCCCAGCTGCAGGCACAGGCACGGAGGCCAAGGCCACCCCACAACCCGGAGACTGGTCTTCCTTCCTCCCCACCGCACCCCCTCCCACCTGACCTGAGACCAGAACTAATCTCTCGTGCTTCTGCTCCTGCTTTCATGGTCACCACAGGGAGGGGTCGGCTCCAGCCCAGCCCTCCCCCGGTGCCTCTGGATTTCCAGGTCCAGCACCAGCCTAGCCACCTCCCTGAGGGCTGTCCTTTCCCTCCGACACTGCTTCCCAGGGCCATGCTCCCTCTTTCCCGGCACCCCGGGGCCTAAGGCCGGGCAAACTCTCATTCTTGCTGCCCTTCCTCCGAACCTGTTTTTCTCCCACTCCCTTAAACCTGTGTTGACATTTATGCCATGAGAGGGTATTTTCCACCTTTGAGCCCGATCCTTTCGAGCCACTTCCCCTTCCTTCACTGTCTGCAGACCCAGCAGCCTGGCCTCCCAGAGCCCCCAGCCCCTCACAGGAGGATCACTGGCCCTTTGGACAGGAAACCCTCCCTTACGCTGAACAGAGGTTAGGACGGCCAGTCCCTGTCCTGTAAGTGTGCTCACTGTGATGATGAAAGAAACCCGTTCTCAACAGCCTCAGGGGCAGTCCTCGATCTCGTCACCGCAGCAGCCACCCAATGTTAAGTCTCCCACCACCTCGCCGTCCTTTCCACTTTCAATAGCCTCAACTCAACAATCCTCGGCGCCACAGGGACCTGCCTCCCCGATCCGACCACCTTCTCCCTGTCCCTTAGCCTCTTTCTCGTTCACTTCCTCCTGGGGCCAGCAGATCCCACAGTCACCATCGTGCTCATGGACGTGGACTCCCTTCTCTGCCAACAGCCTGCGCGGTGCCTGCACCACCCCCAGTGCAGCCTGGGAACACGCTGCGACAGCTGTCACCTCCAGGACGCTGAATGCAGTGGACCCTCGATGCCACCCAGCAGCCCAGCTCATGTCCCTCGTCCAGTCATTCCCCCAGATGAAGGTTTCATGTCTTCCCTTTCCTCTGAATTCCTAAAGCCTCCCCATTCCATGGTGACCCTGTTTTATATTTCACCAGGAAAACAGAATCGACATCCAGAGAGACCGCCATGTACCCTATGGGCTCATCTACTCTGGTCCCTTCTCTCCGACTGGTAGGAAGCAGGACTCCTGGTCAAGCCAAAGCCAGCCACACGCCCAGCCCTCCTGTCTAACTGAGCCACTGGTTCAGCAACCCTCCCCTCCTCCATGACTCACCCCCCTCACGTCCCACAGTTATACAAACAAGTTATTTATTTCATTCTGAATATAATGCACAGAAAAATGCTGGGAATGACACTTGCCAAACTCTTACCAAGAAAATAGTGTGTCTGGGACCGGGCTTTCTAGATAAATCTTACAACTTAGTAATCTATGTGATCTGATTGTCAAAAAATATTCTCTTTCATCAAACTGCTGAATTATAGCCGAAGGCCTCCATGGTAAATAAACCAAACTGCAAACGTCCCAGACTCCATTAACAGTCAAAATGCAGTATTCTCACAGACTTGGCAATTTTTACTACCATGATGTTATCAATGAAACTGAACTCTGCTGAGGAAAGTTTTTTTGAAAATATTGAATTTTTGGCAAGTAATACAAATTACTTGAAAATCTATCAATAAAATTTTGATCAGTTCACAGGAACCAGTCTCTGGTCACATGACCACTTGGGTGTGGGTGTGCGAGTGCACACTAGACAGATTTCTCTCCCTACTACACAAACAGTAGTAAGCATTCCAGTGTGTGGGGGGATTAGAATTACTCCAGGGATTAGAATTATTCAGTTTCTCCCCACCTGACTTGGAGACACTCACTAGGCTCAGGGCCCCCTCATCATCTCCTGCACATTCAAAGAGGACGTAAGCAGAGTGTCCCACGACATGACAGAGTGAGAACCATCTAGAATGCCAGTGAGGGATCTGCTCAGGACCTGCATGTCTCCAATGCATGCACCTAACTTGGGTGTAACAATCTTTTTGCTTTAAAGGGTTCACTTCAGGCCTGATGATGATGGTGCGAGAGCCGCCCCAGACAGTGAGCAATGGGAACACCTGCCCTCAGCGTTTGTCTGCCTGTCAGCAGCACATTCACCTTTTATCTGGGTCTTCGAAAGCAGTTCGCCATCTTCTAAAGGAAATGAAAGGTTAACGGGCAAACCTATCCAGAACCACATTAAACCCTTCAGCTACAGTAAAGTACAACACAAACTGGAGAAGAGGCCTGCATCCTGAAACCAAATAACACTCTTTAAGCTAACCATTCAAGTTACTCTGAAAAACACAAATTAACCTGAGCCAATGCTCCCTACTCAGCAATCCCTCTTAACACATTGGAGGTAGGCTCCATAAGGCATTTACACTCCTGAGGTTGCTAGAAGGATTAGTAACTGCCAGACACACACTGAGAAGTGGTTACACTCACCTACATGAATAGTCCACACTGTTGCTGCTGCCTCCTTAACTCTACTGTCAAACAGAACAACTGCTTTAAGACCCTCAGTTTTTCACCAAAGAGAAGCAAGCACAGTGAAGTCAGCAAACAGAATTGAACACAGCTTGAGGCCAACCATTCAACTTCACTCCCCCACCTCACAAATTTTCAATTATACAGAACAGAAAGAACTGTACAAGAACCACCTAGCCGCACTGGCTGGATTCAGCGAATGTTAACATCTTTGCTGTATGTATTTGTTCTCTTTTTCTCTATCCATCCTCCCATCCTATTTGAAAGTAAGTTGCTGACATTATGAAACTTTGCCCCTAAATACTTTGGTTTGCATTTCTCAAGAACAAAGATATTCTTGGCATAAACCCAACACCATTACCGCACCTAAAAAAATTAACACCATTTTCCTAATATATCAAAAACATAATCCAATCTCCCCAACTAACCAAAAATGTCTTGGACATGAGGAACTTAGGTGCACACAGCTTCATCCAGAACAGTCTGCCTCTCCCCAGGCAGACCTGAGCCTCTGCTACACTTGGTCATGCACACGGCCGCCTCGTCCCACCCAGCTGAGTCTAGACTTACTTCTGTAGCAGCCTTTAGTATAAAACAAACACGATAATGCATGTTCACAAAGGTAGTATTTCCTTTACTATCAATTTCTGTTTATCCTACAAATATTCCAGGTCCCATGAGGTTGAACACTGGCTGAAATAAAACTGATGGTGTCTCACTGAGGCAACCCAAAGCCTGATGGGAGGAATGGTGGGAGGGTCAGGATTAAACAGGAGCAATGAAGACAGTGTTGGCCTGGACTGACGGGATGCAGTGCGAAGTGAGCTTTAAAAAATACCTACTTGATTCTCTTTAGCAGAAGATTCCAAAAAAGCTGCATTCCAAGATTCTGCTAACGCCTTCCCTTCTTCATAACTGATCACCCTAAAGGACAAAAATTCTCATTAAAGAGCTGTGCTCTTTATTATATAAAACATCTACTGTACTTGGATTTCTGAAACAGACTCCATGTTTATGAAGTTTCTCCTCCTGGAGCAGATGCATGCTCCGTTCAGTGCCATCAGCTGGGGAGCACTCTATTTCTACACTATACAGCCCCCTTCAGTGCTCACAGCCCAAGGGTAAGGAGGCTGGGCAATGGTTTGAGGCTGCAACTTCCTTTGGCATGGGTCCACTATGAGAGGCCCACAGACAAGGGCCCCCCATAAATCATGACCATGCATCACTCCCACCTGAGCCGGGGAACAGACAGACACTGTCTTATGGGAGTACTAGTACTCACTCCCTGGCAGCCCTCACAGCTCACAGAAGGCATTTACCAACACCCCAACATCTTAGAGAGAGCTGCACGTGCCCGAGGACAGGGGCAACCCCCAAAGGGCCATGGCTATGCTACGCTCAGGCTGCCAGCATCCAGCCGGCATTTCCTGCCGGCTGGGCCACTGCTCTAATCCTAACCTTGCACTCAAAAAACAATTTGTTGAGTAAATGAACGCTCCCATTGTCTTGTTAGGGTCTGCTTTGCACAAAATGGTAGAAGAAACGAAAGATAATTTTTCTTCAGTGTTTGCTCCCTCTCTTCTCCAGGAAACACTTTTCAAGGGCAGGTGAGTTGGCTTCTGCCAAGCAGCACCGCGCACCTCCCTGAAACACAGAACACAGGGGGCCGCAGCTTAAAATCCCCCCGGCCCCCCCCCCCCCCACCCGCCAGGGAACAACGGAACCCGTGACTTCTGGGACTTAACATCTCAGACTCAATTCTATGAATCAGCAGTTATTAGAAGTGACATACCTTTCCATATGTAGGTCTTTCTTATTCCCAACCAACATAATAGGTATTCTGTTAATATAAGAAAGAAAGGCAAAGAAAACGAGTCAGTTTGTCCAGAAGGTGCTATTGGAAAGAGTGTATCTAACTAGAGAGAAAAATGTTCCTACTTACTGCACTTTCCCCACCATGTCCAACAACTTGCCATGGATAACTTTAATCACCTCAAAACTATAAAAGGAAAAACATGAAGTCAGACATCCAATTTAATTTTTTTAAAAAATATATTTTTTATTGATTTCAGAGAGGAAAGGAGAGGGAGAGATAGAAACATCAATGGTGACAGAGAATCATTGATTGGCCGCCTCCTGCATGCCCCCCATTGGGGATTGAGCCTGCAACCCAGGCATGTGCCCTTGACTGGAATTGAACCTGGGATCCTTCAATCTGCAGGCCAATGCTTTATCCACTGAGCCAAACCAGCTAGGGCAGACACCCAATTTAGTGTTCATGTTTTAAATGTTTATTATGTAAAGCTTTTTTTTTTTAAAATATATTTTATTGATTTTTTACAGAGAGGAAGGGAGAGGAAGAGAGAGCTAGAAACATCGATGAGAGAGAAACATCAATCAGCTGCCTCCTGCATGCCCCCCACTGGGGATGTGCCCGCAACCAAGGTACATGCCCTTGACCGGAATCGAACCTGGGACCTTTCAGTCAGCAGGCTGACACTCTATCCACTGAGCCAAACCGGCTAGGGCTATTATGTAAAGTTTTAGTGAGAAACATAGAAAATGTCAGATTCACCATTTTAATAAAATAAACCGAACACAAAGAATTCCTTTCTTTTTCCTACCAATATTTCACATGTACATGTATTTGACACTCAGTAACACCAATTGAGAACATTCAAAATGAAACAGGTCTGACATTTAATGGGAAAAGTCTAACACTGAGCTGACAAACCACATAATCTCTGAATAAACATTTGTAGAACATTCCTTAGCTAGTGGGCCCCAGCAGTCAGCCCATGTTCCACATTTACATGATGAAAACACAGAAAAAGTAATCACTTTATGCATTCCCTATTTCAATCAGCAGATAAGCTCAGACTGTGTTCAATCACTATTTATCTAGAACATCTATCAGGATATTGTTTTTCCTTTAACAACCTGTTTGTCCCACAAAACATTTAGCTTAGTAATTAAGTCTAATTGTTACTACACCAATTCCAGCATAATCCTTTATAAGGATTAATGCTATCTCTGCATAGCAAAGAAACTCAAGCAAGGAAGAGGCGTTGAGTCTTACCTTTTGATCGATGTCACAGAATACACGAGAATATAACCATTAATATCTATGGAGTACGTCTGGGGAAAGATGGAATATTCATCCTGTGGAAGAAAAAGGATTACACTTGGCATAACAAGCAATCTTCACCCAAAGTTCTTCACATATTTCCTGGTCAAAGAAATCAAAGTAAACAAAATGTGGATTACAATATTATTCTAGAAACATAGTCCACACACTCAAGATTTATTTAAGACTGGTCTGGGGGTGATCATGTGCTTTAAGCCAATATTAAAAATTGACTCCTGTAAATCTTGGGAGAAGAGGATGTAAGGAATAAAAAGATGACTGGTTTGTGTTCTCTTTTATGGATGAAAGTCCAGAATCTCTTAGACCTCACAGAAAATTCACAAGTGCTACTGGTTTATTCCACACATCTGTACTTTCCTACATAAAATAGTTATATTATCACGTGCCCTGTTTTCTGTGTGTGTGTCACAATGGCCTGAGCACTGATCATTGGATTTCTGAAACAGGCTCCATGTTTATGAAGTTTCTCCTCCTGGAGCAGATGCATGCTCCGTTCAGTGCCATCAGCTGGGGAGCACTCTATTTCTACACTGTACAGCCCCCTTCAGTGCTCACAGCCCAAGGGTAAGGAGGCTGGGCAATGGTTTGAGGCTGCAACTTCCTCTGGCATGGGTCCACTATGAGAGGCCCACAGACAAGGGCCCCCCATAAATCATGACCATGCATCACTGGCTGGGTGACCACCAGCACTCGAGAGGGAGGGGAGGAGAAGAGAATGGAGAAACTGTAGAGTGAGTACCCAGACATTTGAGGATGGAATGAGTTATTTACTGAGCAGCTTTAGGAATTAAAAACAAAGGTACAGCCCTAACCGGTTTGGCTCAGTGGATAGAGCGTCAGCCTGCGGACTCAAGGGTCCCAGGTTCGATTCCAGTCAAGGGCATGTACTTTGGTTGCGGGCACATACCCAGTGGGGAGTGTGCAGGAGGCAGCTGATCGATGTTTCTCTCTCATTGATGTTTCTAACTCTCTATTCCTCTCCCTTCCTCTCTGTAAAAAAAATCAATAAAATATATTTAAAAAACAACAACAACAAAAAACCACAAAGGTACACATTGTGCAACAGGGTACTGGCACCCAGTTTTATATGGCTTTATGAAACTGCTTTAGATCCGGAATTATCAAAGCACAGAGAGGCTAACGTCAATACAGCCTTCATCAGTGCACACCCCTGCCTGGTACAAATATGTTGCTCTCAGTTGAAACAGAACTGTCCACATACCACACACACCAAGCACTATTATAGAAAAATCGAGGCAAGTAACTGTCTGTTAACTTTGCAATTCCATAGTATGGTTACAACTAGTGTCCATGACAACCCTGAATTTCTGCCCTATGGTAAAGTGTCTTTTAAAAACAAAAAGAAAAATTTAGTTGTCCTATCAACTCTCTGACATCAAAAATAGTGGTCATTAATCAGAAAATAGCATTTCTACATCACAGAGCTTACTATCTATGCAAAATAAAACCTTTATTTTCCTTATTAGTACAACTTTTATTAAGTTGAATTTATTTTAGTGTTGATTTTTTAAAAATATGTTTTTATTGATTTTAGAGAGAGAGGAAGGAAGAGAGAGAAAAACATTGACCAGCTGCCTTCTATAACACCCTGTACTGGGGCTCGAGCCCACAACCTGGGCATGCGCCTTGACTGGGAATTGAACCAGTGACCTTTTAGTTCATGGGACAATGCTCAACCAACCGAGTTGCTCCGGCCGGTCTTAGTGTTGATTATTGAAAACAAATTGTTAATGGAATGACAGATCTATCTACCCAGATTAAAAACAAAATTCCAAATGATTTTAGTCACCAGCTCAGGTACAGTGGCTCCAAAGTTCAAATTATGTTTCCTCTGAAGGGAAGATGTGAAAAAAAAGAGTAATCCTATTTAAGTTGGCGCAAGCAACAACTAGTTAGAAAGTATAATGGAGGAACAAGATCTTCTGCTGTAGCAGTAACCAAAAAGGACAAAATTCCTAGGAATAAACTGAAGGAAACAAAAATATATGCTTCATTTAAAGAAAATCTTAATACTCCTGAGATAAAGGACTTAAATAAATGGAACAGCGAGCATGGCTGTCTTTAGCAAGAATATGCAGAACTGTAAGGATATCCACTGATTAACCCTAAATTAATATATAAATGTAACATGATGCTGGCCAAAAAAGCATACGTTTGTTGTTAATCCTCACCTGAGAATATTTTTCCCATTGATTTTTAGAGAGTGGAAGGGAAAGGGGAGAAGAGAGAGGTAGAAACATCGATGTGGGAGACACACATCAATAGGTTGCCTCCCACCCATGCTCCTACCAGGGCCAGGGATTGAACCTGCAACCCACATGTGACTGGGAATGGAACCTGAGACCCTCCAGTGCTTGGGCCCACACTCTAACCCGGGCCAGGGCAAAAAGCATACTTCCTGACAAAGAAAACCAACTGTGGAGGCAGGTGGGTGGGAACCACAGAGCTGCAGTAATTAAAGTAGTGCAGTACTGGCTCATGAATGGAGCTGACTGAAAATTCTACAAAGAACCAACAGATATGGGAATTAGGTATATGATAATGTTGGCATTCAAATCAGGAAGGATACAAAGTAACACATAAGGAACAAATGCGGAGGCATCTGGGGGAAATGGCTAAACTGGATGTCTACCTCACACCTCAGCAAACATGTATTCCGGAGGAATCAGACTTAAAGATGAAAATTGAAGCTGCGCATGGTAGACCGGAGAATTTAAATGGAAAACAAAACCTTGCCGCTCAGCTCATGTACCAAATGCTAATTTTCTTCAAATCAATGAGACCAACCAGCTAATCGAAAAAGGGGAAAGTACATGAATAGACATGATAGTTCACAGAAAAGATGGATGTCCTCAAATAGGGAAAATAGAATCAAACTCCTTCATAAACACTAATTAAAATGACAGATACTAATTTTCACCTAGCAGATGGATAGATATAAAAATTTCGTAACACACTGTGTTGGTGATTCACTGCTGGTGAGAATATAAACCATGACCCTATGGCCCAGCAATCCCACACCCAGGCATGTTCTTACACACATACCATCTGTCTAAAACGACAGTGTATAATGGAGGCACTAACGGTGGGAGAGACTGGAAACATGTGGTTAAATGATGATATAGCCCAAATAACAGGACATTATGCAGCCATGGGGAAAACAAAAAGAGGCCGCATGCACTGATATGGGATAGTCTCCAAGGTGGAGACAGATCTGTGTTACTTTTTGGGGTACAAACAAACAAACAAACAAAAACCTTAAAACTATACTTGAATGTTGATGATAAAATATCTTGGAAGCAAATAGTAGAAACTGATAACGGGAGTTGCTGTTGGGGTGAAGCTAAGGTAGCTAGAGAGGGAAAGACTTAAGGTTTACTATTTGCCTTTTTGTGTTGCTTTCTTTCTGTAACAGGTGCATTTATTACTATTTAAAAAAATAAACTTAATTCTTTTTTTTGAAGGGGAAATTGACAGTATAAAACTGACTGTCATTGATTCACTTGTCATTGAATCTACTGAAATTAGACCAAAAGAAAGTATTTCATGCAAACTAAAAATAATAAATTTGTATTTAACTATGTTCACCATCATCCCTCGCTGCAATGACACCAGGTGTAACACAAACTACCATAGAGCACTTGCTGTCAGGTATTGCTATACAGCCATTTATTATGTGTAATTAATTTTCCTCCTAAAAAGTGCAAGCTAGTGAACAAAGTGACGAGGTTGCTTTTAAAGAATTTGCCCCCCACTCACCTTTCCATCCTACTAGCAGCCTTAAGCCCAGAATAAGCCCACGTGAACCCAATTTAAAAACAGCCCTGGGAGCAGTGATCTGTTACCCCAGCCAGTTTTACAGAACCAGGGTGGACTGCAGAAGGTAATGCCTGTGTCACACCATCATGAGTGGTAAATACTAGCATAGCCTTTTATTTTCTGGTCTCCTAGCCACGAATATAGCCTTTAAGAACTGTTAGCTGCAGTGAGAACAAATTATTCCAAGTAGCTAAATTTGGATATATTTTTTGCGAAAATTCTCTAAATATTCTTATCTGGCAGTAACAGAACCCAAAACAGCAAAGACAAGCAGAGCTGGAAATGGACCTCGCTCTGGCCTCTCCCTCACTCCTACACTCACTCCCTGAGATGGGATCCTTTTGGGGTCACTCTTTGTAAAACTCTATCATTAGAACAATTACAGGAGTGTGATGGCCAAGTGGACATTTCTGCTTTAGAGCAAAACAAGAACCTCAGAGGAACACAACTCCCACAGTGGCCAGGAGAGTCAATATAAAGAAACTAGAGGCCCGGCGCACAAAAATTTGGGCACTGGGGGAGGGGGGGTCCCCTCAGCCCGGCCTGTGCCCTCTCGCAGTCTGCGACCCCTTGGGGGATGTCCACCTGCTGGCTTAGGCCCGCTCCCGGGGGGAGCAGGCCTAAGCTGGCAGTCAGACATCCCTCTCACAGCCCGGGAGCCCTCGGGGGATGTCCACTTGCCAGGGGGAGCAGGCCTAAGCTGCAGTTGGACATCCTTAGCGCTGCTGAGGAGGCGGGAGAGGCTCCTGCCACTACCGCTGTGCTGGCAGCTGGCAGCCTGGCTTGTGGCTACGCAAAGCTCCCCCTGTGGGAGCACACTGACCACCAGGGGGAAGCTCCTGCATTGAGCGTCTCCCCCCTGGTGGTCAGTGTGTGTCATAGTGACCAGTAATTCCCAGTCGTTCTGCTGTTAGGGTCAATTTGCATATTACCCTTTTATTATATAGGACAGAGGCCTGGTGCACGGGTGGGGGCTGGCTGGTTTGCCCTGAAGGGTGTCCTGGATCATGGTGGGGGTCCCGCTGGGGTGCCTGGCCAGCCTGGGTGAGGGGCTGATGGCTGTTTTCAGGCTGGCCAAGCCCTCCAGCGACCCAAGCTCCCAGCCTCTCCTTCTCTTCTTTTTTTTTTTCCTGGGACTTATTTATCTTCTATAATTGAAACTTTGTAGCCTTGAGCGGGGTGGAGGGCAGGCCACAGCAGGCGGGAAGCTTGGCTTCCTCCATCGCCGGGGGCAACCCAAGCCTCCTGCTTGCTCCAGCTCCATGGCTGCCGCCGCCATCTTAGTTGGGCTAATTTGCATACTAGCTCCTGATGGCTGGTGGGCATGGCTTGAGCATAGCAGAGGGATGGTTAATTTGCATATTTCTCTATTATTATATAGGACTAGAGGCCCGGTGCACAAAAATTTGTGCACTGGGTGGGGGGGGGGAGGGAGGGGGCGGATCCCTCAGCCCGGCCTGTGCCCTCTCGCAGTCTGGGACCCCTCAGGGGATGACCACCTGCTGGCTTAGGCCCGCTCCCAGGGGGATCGGGCCCAAGCTGGCAGTCAGACATCCCTCTGGCAGCCTGGCAGCCCTCGGGGGATGTCCACTTGCCAGCGGGGAGCAGGCCTAAACTGCAGTCGGACATCCTTAGTGCTGCTGAGGAGGCAGGAGAGGCTCCCACCACCACCGCTGTACTGGCAGCCATCAGCCTGGCTTGTGGCTGAGCAGAGCTCCTCCCATGTGAGAGCGCACTGACCACCAGAGGGCAGCTCCTGCATTGAGCGTCTGCCCCCTGGTGGTCAGTGTGTGTCATAGTGACCAGTCATTCCCAGTCCTTCTGCTGTTAGGGTCAGTTTGCATTTTACCCTTTTACTATATAGGATAGAGGCCTGGGGCACGGGTGGGGGCTGGCTGGTTTGCCCTGAAGGGTGTCCCGGATCAGGGTGGGGGTCCCGCTTGGGTGCCTGGCCAGCCTGGATGAGGGGATGATGGCTGTTTGCAGCTGGTCACACCCCCTTCATGGTGGGGTTCCTCACTGGGGTGCCTGGCCAGTCTGGGTGAGGGGCTGAGGGCCGTTTTCAGGCTGGCGGGTGACTGAAGCTCCCAACCTCTCCTTTTTTTTCCTTTTTTTTAATTCTGGGATTTATTTACCTTCTATGGCTGTCACTGGAGCTGAGAGCCGGCTTTAGCTCTGAGGCTCGGCTCCAGCTCTGAGACCTCGGCTGCTGAAAGCAGGTATCTGGGTTAGTTTGGCTTCTATAATTGAAACACTGTTGCAACTCCAGCTCTGAGGCCTGGCTGGCTGAAAGCAGGTTTCTGGGGTTTGTTTAGCTTCTATAATTGCAACATTGTTTCTTAGAGTGCAGCTCAGAGGCCGGCAGCGGCAGGCGGGGAACCTTGGCTTCCTCCATCACTGGAGCAAGCAAGCCTCCTGTTCGCTTCAGCTGCCTGGCTGCCGGCTGCCATCTTGGTTGGCAGTTAATTTGCATATCTCGCTGATTAGCCAATGGGAAAGGTAGCGAAGTTACGGTTAATTACCATGTTTCTCTATTATTAGATAGGAGGATGATCTCTCCAGGCAAATGTTTTCAAGGACAGCTCTTCTCTAAGTAGGAGACACCTGCGTTTCTCTACCCCAGTTGTAAATGTCAATTGAGCTGCAACGTGAGGCCATTGCTCTAGCCTCAGAAGCATCACAGATCCACAAATAAGGACCAAATCCTCTTCAACCCCACAACGATGCTGTGAAGGCATGCACCACAATTACTGCCATCTCACAGATGAAAAATCCGAGGCACAGAAAAGTTCACTGACTTTCTCAAGGTCACTGGTTAGTAAGAACAGCGAGGACTGGAACCCAGGCACTGTGACTGCAGAGCCCACACTCCAAACAACCATGAAGTGCTGGTTCTCCTGGCCAACCACGAGGGCTATTTCCACAGTAACGCTACAGGGATGTGACTGATCAATTTACACCCTCAGCCCCAATTCCCACGAGCTTAGGTAAAAATCCAAAACCGGGATATAAAGACAGCCCTGGCCAGGTGATTCAGTGGGTTAGAGTGTCGCCCTTTGCAACGAAAGATTGAGGGTTCGATCCCTGGTCAGGGTGGGTACAGGAGGCAACCAGTGGATGTTTCTTTCTCACATCTCTACCCCCCCACCCCCACCTCTTCCCTCTCTCTAAAAAGAAATCAACAAAAACATATCCTTGGGTCAGGATTAAAAAAAAAAAAAGTATAAAGGCAAACTGAAATCCTGATAATGTCCACTCCACTATAAACAACATGGCTATTATTTCTTTGCCCAGAACTCTGGTATACCTGCTGTCCCAACATAATTACACTTGTAACCTTCACTCTTAAAAGTGTCTCATTTTAGGCAATAAATTATAGTCACTTTATAAGAGATACAAACCCTAGAAACTCAAAGAGGTCCCACCTGAGTCTCCTCTATACTAGTTTACAGGACAGGCTGCATCCCCTGTGCCATTATTCCCTTCTGGCGACTTCTCTTGCTCCCCATTCCAGCAGCTCCCAGACCCCATTCTGCCCCTGGACGGGACCCTGTACAATAAGCCAAGGATGGCTCTGCTCTAAGAAAACCGCGAGGTCTGACGACATTTTCTTGCCTCACTCGGGGCTATACTTTCCTTCTATCTATGTTCACATCAAAGCATAAAGCAGAGGCAGTTTATTCCAAACAAGACAGGACGACCCCAACTCCCCCACCTAATGCAGCCGGTACTAGATTGCACCACACACACCTCCTGCCAGCAGTCCTTCGTCATTCGTAAGATGCAAGGTGAGGAGTTAGAATCCAACATCGCGGCTCCTCCCACTCCCCACCCACCAGTGAACTGTAATAAAGCCAGCCTAACAGAATGGGTTCTATACAAGCTGGACTGGGTGCCATGGCAATAGGGAAATGAAGCCGACAAAAAGGGGCTTCTTTGTTCCCTTCAAGTTCTCTTAATTTCTTCCACCCTTTGCTTCCAGTCAGTTCCCCTGGCGATCCAGTCCCCACATTAACCTGTGAAAAGATCGTGTTTTTATTAAAGTTACTTAACCTTTGGCAATTACCTATTGTCCAGCAAATCAAACCAACACCCCTTAACCTAGTAATCATATAATCAATCTATGAGCCAGCTGGTTTGCCCTACCTCTCATGCCTTTCCCCTGGAAAAGACTTACTTTTGTTCTCAATGTAGGGGAACACACATCACAAAGGGAGAAAAAGCACTAACGTGAGTCTGACATAAAATTTAGAAAATAAAAAACTCCTCTCCTGTAGTAAGCATTAACCTTCACAATGTTATGAATATATTTAGGACAATTCTAAAGTACAAACCCAAGTTAATTATTTGAAAAACAGCCACAAGTGACTTAAGAAAGACACAGTAGATGGCCTGAAGTCCCAGGGTCTTCCTGGCCTTGCTGCTGTGTGTAGTCAGTGCCTGGGCCAGGACTGCCACAAGTGCCGTAGGAGAGAAAGAGACGAGAGATACTTACTTGCCCAGCTGTGTCTACAAGTTGAAGATGATATTCTTGTCCATTTACTGTGATCAATTTTGTGAAAGCTATAGGGGGAAAGGGGAATTAAATATTAGTTAGCTAAACAATTAACTTTAGATCACTTAAAGCTTGAACAATGACAACCAAGTAAGCAGAGTCCCTAATAATCTCCTAAAAAGGTTCCATAAAACAAAAAGGACACATCTCTGAGTGTATAGATTCTTCTCTACTTCCATTATGTAGCTTAAAAACATTGCCGGCTGACTGAAATCAAGACTGGGCAAACCTTGGACTTTTTCAAAGAAATTGAAATCAGGCAATAATTCATATTCTGTAAAAGAAATTTGAATGCTCTGTGGACAGTCCTTTCTCTTGTGAAAAAGTGAAATCCTATCTAATAAAGAGGGAATATGCTAATTGACTCTCACACTGTGGCAAAATGGCACCCACAGCCAATAAGGAGGGAATATACTACTTGACTGCCACGCCCCCAGAGATGGCGGCACCCACAGCTGCAAGATGGCTGGCAGGGGAGGGCAGTTGTGGGAGATCAGGCCAGCAGGGGAGGGCAGTTAGGGGCAACCAGGCCAGCAGGGGAGGACAGCTGGAGGGGACCCGGCCTGCAGGGGAGGGCAGTTGGGGGCGACCAGGCCAGCAGGGGAGGGCAGTTGAGGGGGGACCAGGCCTGCAAAGGAGGGCAGTTGGGGGTGACCAAGCTGGCAGGGGAGGGCAGTTGGGGGTGATTGGGCCGGCAGGGGAGCAGTTAGGCGTCGATCAGGCTGGCAGGGGAATGGTTAGGGGGTGATCAGGCTGGCAGCAGAAGCAGTTAGGGGCAATCAGGCAGGCAGGCAGGCAGGCGAGCGGTTAGGAGCCAGCAGTCCCGGATTGTGAGAGGGATCCCAGATTGGAGAGGGTGCAGGCTGGGTTGAGGGATCCACCCCCCAGTGCATGAATTTCATGCACCGGGCCTCTAGTATATTACATAAAGCTTGATGTCAAGAATAAACCAAAAGCACAAACCTTTTCACTAATTTATAGGAAGTCTGGTGTCAGAGCACAAAGAGCTAATATTAATTGAAAGGCTACGAACTCCCAGAATGTAAAAAAGCCCCTATCTTACTGACAGATTAACACAGCATTGGAACAGATGTTCTATGTGAAGCCATCATTCCCACTTAGCTTAGGATCCAAGCAATTTGTCACAACTTCTTTTCCCTAACAAGGGGGGAAAAATCAGAGTCAAATAACTTCCGGAAAAGTCAATTCAGAATTTCAAGGAGACAGACTTCAAGCAAATATAGACAAAAGAGGAAAGACTATTAATAATAACTATTACAAAGAACCACCTGGAACCCTGACAACCAAATGGAAAGGTCGCTGCGCCCCATCCCAGCCTTCTTGGCTCATGAGGAGTCTACATCTCCTGGCTGACCGCTGGACTTGATCAGAGCTGCCAGTAGACTCTACCCCATGCCAAAAGGGAAAGACAGATGCTGACAGTTACGAGAGAAACTGTAAGTGACAGAGGAGAGGAGCAACAATCCGGGAGAACCACACCAGCATCAGGCTCTCCGAGTGCCAGTGGGGCACAGACCGCACTACTCGAGCAACTGCACACTTGAGAGCATTCTTGTGCCCTTTCTGGGAATTATCACTTAAAGAATTCTAAGAAAAAGTTCTACTGTATTTTTTTTTTCACACTGCAACCTCTCTGAACTTGGGGTGCACAGTGCATCGACTGTGCGTTCCATCACTGTGGGCCAAGGGGCAGCCACGAGGCACCTCGGTGAAAACCTGCCTTCCACACCTCACCTAAGATCAACATATTTCAGACTTGATGAAAATTCTAGAAGAAACATTGGTGAGCAATAAAATAGCAACCTTTAGTTAGAAGTAATTGTGGTTAGAAAGTGTAATTATTATGAAAAGATTATCTACACAGAACACCATTCACTCACTCAAGAACTATTTCTCGAGTGCCTATTATTCTCGCCACTAGGTGATGGAGTTACTGGGTCCCTGACCTCAGTGAGCTGACACCATGACGGAAGGAGGACGGGGACAGACCTGTCAGGTATCTGCTCTGGGAGCAGCACCAGGAGGTACAATGGCAAGGAGAGGCTCAGTTGGCTGAGCATTCTGTGCACCGAAAGGTTGCTGGTTCGATCCCTGGTTGGAGCTAAGGCAACCAATCGATGTTTCTCTTACATCAATGCTTCTGGCTCTCTCTTTTTTTCCCTCTCTAAGCATGTCTTCGGGTGAGGACTAAAAAAAAAAGTCAGTGCAGCTGAGACTGAGAATGGTGGCAGGCACTTAGGTAGAGGAGGGGCAGGCGGCCATAGAGGACTTGGTCAGAACTTCAGATTTTTATTCGGAAGTGATGGGAAACCAAGGGTTTTTGAGCAGGGGAGTAGCTGGATCTGATTTAAAGGATCACTCTGGTTAGGCTGTGAATAGAAAAATGGACAAGGGACATGGGTGGGAGCCCATAATAGAGTGACCAGGGGGGCAGAGATGGAGGTGTGAGACATGTGGCATTCTGGAAATACTTCAAAGGTAGAACCAAGAGGATTTTCCGGTTGCCTGTGGTAGGGTGTGAAGAACAGGCAGGCAGGAAGACTCCAGTTTCTGGCCTGAGCAACTGGAGGCACGAGTTGCCATGAACCGACACAGAAAAGCCTTCGGGAGGGGCCCTGGGGCAGCAAAGGAGGGGACTGAGGGGCAGGGTTAGGTATGGTCAGTCTGAGAAGCCCATTAAATACCCAAGGGGACTGAGGGCAGCTCAGTAAAAGGCCCGGAGTTGAGGGGAGAGGCTGGGTACGGTGAGACGGGCAAATTCTCAAGGGGAAGACCCCTGGAGAGCGAGGGCAGAGAGAGCCTGAGCCCGACATGCACACCCAGGGGCTCCCTGAGCTGCCAGGTCAGAAACACGGGAAGATTCGGCCACAGACACTGGAAAGTACTGGCTAGGGAGGTAGGAGTAAAAAGGCAGGAGATGGAACTGAACATAAGACAGAAAAGAAATAAAATATTAACAAACGTTTAGCATATCCTTGCACATAAAAAGGATGTAAACCCTCCCACACAAAGCAGTAAGATGAAACTGAAGATCTTCCATCTGTCTTGGGAGAAGTGCCTCCTGTTGTCACTACAGAAAAAGGGAAGCATCCTGCGATCCGCCTGCCAGTCCACAGACTGGGAGCAAACTCTTCTACCGCCTTGTGGAGAAGAGGGAAGCTGGCTTTCCCCTGACACCACTTTCCTTGAACCCTTTCTCCCTTTTTCAATCTCCAGAGAAATTAATCTAATTTCTAGCTTAAAATCCTGAAACTTCTCTAAGCAGGCTAATAGCTACTTACTAGTAAAATCTAATAAACAAGGCTCAGCCTGAAGACTTCTTAAATCTGGTGTTCACAAAGTAAGATCTGCGTTACTAACATGTATGGTGAACTCTTCACCCACACCCCACTGGGCAGTCTGCCACCACACAAGGCTTGATAAACTCCTGTTTCCCACTTTCGAATTTGCTGAGCTTTATTAATCCATCAGCAGTCCTACCTGGGGATGGCAGAGCTGTGACGTGGTGCTATTCCTCTTCAAATTATAAACTATTACTCCATGTCCTCATGTCAATCTAGTTTGAGTTGTTAGATTAGCACAAAGGCACATAAGAAAGCACATTTGCACAGGCAGGATCATCGGTGTAAATATTTCCCCAAACACAAAAAAATATGTGGTTTTATCGATGTTTTCTCCTATGTTTTAAAAGTCCCAGACTTTTTGCTTTTGCAGTGATACTGCATATAAATGTGTCAACACTGAATGTTTGTTACAAATGCCCTGTTCTATATTAGAGTTAAGTGTAAAATAATTACTGGATCATTTACAGATTCATTGTGTTTTTTAGAACCACAAAACCATCTATTTATGTGGTGAGCAACAAGTTTATGACGACAATCCCATTCCTCTCCAATCCCCTATTATCACTGAGCAATGTTTTTCTACTAAATAGTGGGGGAAGGGTTGAGGAAGGGTTTCTGCCCTGTGTTACTGTCAGAAGCATGGAAAATAGAATCAGATGTCTGAATATGCTCATGAACGTTTAAAAACAATACATTTTTATTGATTTCAGAGAGGAAAGGGAGAGTGCGATAGAAACATCAATGATGAGAGAAAATCACTAATGGCTGCCTCCTGCACACCCCACACTGGGGATGGATTCTGTGACCTAGGCATGTACTCTGACCAAAAATCAAACCATGACCTCCTGGTTCATAGGTCGATGCTCAACCACCGAGCCACATCGGCTGGTCGGGCATGCTCAAGAACTTTTAATATACTGTGATACTCATTTCTGCTCTTGCCTAAAGACTTTAAATGAATTCACTTCTGACACTGGAAAAAAAGTATTATTAAACACCAAGTATCAGATAGGAAAACATTAAAAACATGACTAAAGATGATGCTGACAGCCTTCGAAGGAGGGTCCTTCCATTCTGTTTCTGAGACAGTATCAAGGTAAGGAAGTTGGACTTTTGTCTGATCCATTACTTACACATAAAGAAAATGCATTTATAGATAACACCTTGACTTTCCTTCCCACTCAATCTTAAATGGCACAAAGATATACAATTATAAAAATCACTTTTATAAGCAGAGCTTACCATGAAAACTATCTTCTATTGTTCTATGAATAAAATTCTCAAACGAGCCTTATCTCTTAAAGGACACCGCATTCTAAATTGCTATGTAGAGCAAATATCAAGGCCAAGAGCATAGTTTTCTTGTGTTCCGATGCCAATGGAGAGAGAACCAAACTTGTTCACTCAGCATTCAAATTAATCTGTCCTCACAGGGCACACTATTCCGCGACAGCTAAGGAAATCAACAGGATGCCATCAGGACTCCTCCTTCCAGATAAGGCAGAGGTTACTTTCAAACACGTGACTTCCCAGTTAGTTTAGCAATCAACAGGTTTCCTTCCCTGCTACCAGCGTACGGGACAAAGGACAGCTGGATATTTTAAGCCAGAGGTCAGCAAACTTCCTGGAAAGGGCCAGACAGTAAATATTTTAGGCTCAGTGGGCCACATGGTCTCTGCTGCAACTGTCCACCCACTCTGCTGTTGCAGAGAAGCAGCAGCCACAGACAGCATGTACATGAATGAGAATGGCTGTGTTCCAATAAAACTTTACTTATGGATGCTGAAATTTGAATTTCTAGTTGTATACTTTCACATGTCACAAACATTTTTCTTCTTTTGACTCTTTTCAAATATTAAAAATGTAAAAACCATTCTTAGCTCATGGGCAACTTGGCCCAAATTTGTCAACTCCCGTTGAGAGCCTCTTTTTAAGTCTCTCTTGCAAGCTTTGGGCGGGTGAAGTCTACGAATCTAGTTGTTAAAGCTGGTGAGCCTGGCTGTTAGGTAGGCTGCCTGTCTAATATGCCAATCAGGTTTTGTTGAACCCCATGTTTAGATCTGTAAGTTCCTGGTGACAAGTCCCAGGTAAGGCCTGCTGTCAACAATCTGAGAAGACTGGTTCCAGGCGAGCTGGGGTTCTAAGATGGCCTGAAACCAGACTAGCTTCAACAAGCAACTTCCCCGGACGAAGTGCCTCGGGTTCTCCTCCGTGAGCCCCAGAATCAAGATTTGGCTCAAGGCCCTAGAATCCTTCAGGGAGATTCTGAAACATATGGATTGAAACTGGACCAGGTAAAGGTCGTGGCCGGCTCTGGTCTTCGGTGCTTGTGCTGCACACAGCCTGACAGGCTAGCAGGCTCTGTTCTAACGCTGCGACTGCTCTGTCCAACCCCAGAACAGCTAGCTCACTTCTCCCAGACTTCCTTCCTTAAGTATCCACGACTGGACGGGCCGGGCAGCTGGGGCCTCCACAATAGTAAGGTACAAAGAACTCGTAGTGTTTGCATCTTCCTTCTCCAGCTTAGAACCCCTAAAGAGGGCTACTGTTAAGAGAAAGGAAAAGGGGGGGGGGAAGCACTCTCTCCATCTTCCTAAAGCAGAACCTAGAATATGGGGTTCCGATACAGGACTCTGATTCCTATGGAGATGAATAACAATTTCTAAATGGCAGGATCTGGATGCGGGATAAAAAAAAATCACTCGCTGTAAAGTGGGTCAAGTTTTTGGAAGCATTTTTTGGACCCTAGTTGGTGATCTATAAGTCTAACTGAATACTCTTCCATCAAAGCCTCCAAACACACAATGGCTGTTTGTATGCAGAAGGCAGGCTCCTCAGTTTATAAATCCTTGAAAACAATACTTACTGTTCTCTATGGTTGGGTCATAGGAGTCAACAAATTGGCCTTCAACAAACTGAATCGTCAACGAGGATTTCCCTGTAAAAGAAAGAGACAACTCAGAATGCATGGGCATTATCAAGGCAAAAAATTGTAATTCTAGTATTTTACAAAAAACCCACCACTGTAACAGATGAAGAAACTTAAGGTACTGAGATCAGAAAATGTTCCTTTAATTAGCATTTAGGCAATCTTAAAATTTCTGTGAAAATATGACAGAAATTTAAGCAAATAAGCTATTATGAATTAAATGCTTTTGTGACATTAACAACTATACTGACCAACAAGCACACTGCATATTCTGTTAAAGGTAAACAACTCTTAAATAAGGTGTAAGCTAAGCTGATCTCCTCTGGTATCCTCGAAATCTGGCTATTAATTTTAATATGGCAATGAGTAAAGCATGATTAATTTCTTTGGGTTTTTTCATATATGGCTGTTTAGAGGGTAAGCTGAAAAAATAACAAAAGTTTTTATTTTTAATACTTGGTGAAGGTAGAAACCCTGTGTCTATCATCCAGTGTCAAAGGCCTACCAGTGTCCTGCACACAGACAGTTCAGAAATGTTCTGGACTCATCAAAACACTGTGGTAACTGAGCCCTACGTTCTCAGGGCTACGTGTCATATAGAATTTCTACTGGAGGACATCAGAGCAGGGCTCCCTGGGAAGAAACAGTCCAGACTATTTTATCACCAGGAAGCAGGGAGTGGTTCCTCCCTAATTCCATCCCAAATCCTTCCCTCTCAGGTCCACTCTTAGACATGCTGCAGAATCAACTTCCATCTCAGGACCTGCAGGGAGAGCCAGGGAGGGCGGGACTCCTGGAGTTTCCCGTCTGCCTGCCTCCCCGAAACCACAGAGAGGAGTTCACAGGGGGCGTGAGGTTTTCACACCAAAGGCAGTCAGTCCTCTTATACTTAGAAATTTATCAATTGATAAACGGGTTTAAAAGTGGGAGCTCCTGGGAGAAACCAGAAAATCCCCAAGTTGGCAGGCTTGTTATTTACTCCTCCCAAGCAGCTAAACACAAAGTTCACGGTGTCTCCAGAATTACTGACAACTGAAATCATTCTCCACAAGGCAGCCTACAAGAGCTTTGGAAAATTACACATCACTTCTCTGCTTAAAATCCTAATTGTGATTAGAATGAATCCCCAACTCGGAACCATGACCCACACACAACGGGGGAGAGGGCCTGCTTGCCCACCTCCCTAACCTCAATGGCTACCACTCCGCCACGGGCCCTCCCAGGCTCCAGTCACATTCTTCTGTCCCTGCCAAGTTCCTACTAGCCTTAGCGCCTTTGTTCTAACCAGCCCCCAGATCTCTGAAGGTCTGACTCACTTTTGTCATTATTCTGGTCCGCACTCAAATGTCCCTTCTTCAGAGAGGCCATTGCTAAAACTATCCCATCTAAGGTGGTGCCACCTCCCTGATGCCACTCTATCAGACCATCCTGTTTTCTTTCTTTTAGTGCTTGCAGTTATCTGCAAGTACCTTCATTAATTAGTCTTTGCACACCCTGCAGACACGCCAAAGGGCATTCTCATACATTCAGATGCTACAAAAGATCTCAACTTTATAAATGTGACTAGGAAACAGTTCAATAGAAATGAAGAAACAACTGTCTAGTACTTATTGGTCCCCAAACACGGGCCTGCCTGTGATACCGGATACAGTAGTTGTCCAGGAACTGCATGCATTTCAAAAGAATTGTGCTCAAAAGACCGTGTTATATAAGCTAGCTCATAAAGAGGCATTTAGCTCAAGATATAGAACAGCTTTTATGTAATGAAAATAGCAATAAAAAACCCTCTTTTATGTGAGCAAAACTGAAAAATTTTAAAGAATAAGAATATTCTTATTTATATTGAATGCTATTGCTTGAAGCAAAATGTTTAATTAGGAAGAAAGAAAAGAACCTTCTTCAGGGCTTCTTAAGAATACTTCCAGACACTGGGGGTTTGTATTTTTTGTTTGTTTTTTTGGGGGGTCTTACGAATGGAAAGAGAAGGAAGAAAGAAGATTTTTTTCCCTTAAAGATAAGTGGTCAAGAGTTACAAAGCTGAAAAGAAAGGGATTAAAAAGATTTTTATAACTTTTTTTTGGAAGCAGAACTGGACTAAAACCAGTAAAGAAAGGAGTTAAGTGTGATGTATGTGATAAACTCCCCCAACGTGGAGGAAAACCAGTAGGAAACACTGGATTAGACAGCTCTCCGCCCTGGCACCAGGTGAGTCTCAAAAGCCTCACCTGCAGGGGTGAGGGGAGGGGAGGACAGCCTCAGGAGCTAGCACAGGAAATTTAGGCAGCCACAACCAAATTGAAAAGAAAATCCCATATCCTTGTTATACACTGAACAAGATAGCATGAGATAAATAGTTACAGCTAACAAGTGGACCACATTTTAAAAATACAATTATTGGTTCATATCGAAAGAAGAGTTCCTCATTTATATCACAGAGGGCACAGAGTATTTGCCTGGTTAACTTCCCATTTAACTTGAAAATATAAGCAATCATTCTGGCAAAAGCACACAATGTAATCCACCCTGAATCAAATGAAGGATGACCGCAAACTCTTCCTGAGTAACTGGGACACCAGATCGGAAACCCCAGTCCTCAGGGAGCAGCTGGATTTCTCAATCAGTTGGGCCTGGGAGAAAGCGCTAATTCATCAGCAAAAGTGGGGCTGAAGAAAAGCTAAGTCTCCCTTGGGTCTCTCCTCCTCTGGACTCTCCCTTATGGGAAGATCATTAATTATTTAAATTAAGAAGGGACAGGAAGGCTACATTTGCTGACATGACAGCTGTTTTCTGCTGTTTCCATTAAAAGCAGAATTATTAGGCAACTAGTGTTGAAATCTTCAAGTCAGCACTAACTGATAATTAATCTTAGTAAATGAATCCCACTGCTCATAGTCTTCTCAGTCCTGGTTCTAGTAATTTCTGGCTTTAAGGGACGTCCTCATCCTCTAGAGCAGTAAATTGGCTCCTTTGGCCAAGTTTTCCAATGCAGTTTACTTGCAGCTACAAAAGGCCTTGTTGACCTACAGCAAATTATATTATTTACTTGATCACCTTTTATATTTTTCCTCATAATAACCTCCTACATCTACTTGGGCCTTTGTCCTTGTCAAATTCACATCCTGGAATACCAATTATTTCCTGAAGATGTTTCAGCACCAATCAGGCTCTCAGAGGCTCATAGGTTTGTATAACCTGGGGAGAATCTCAAACTCCTGACCAACTCTTGGAGAAATGCTATATGATAACAATACAGGAGTGAGCTGAAGTAAACTGAAAAGCAGCGCATACCTGGATGTGTGTATCAACACAGAGACAAATCTTCCAATTTGGTAACACATTATGCAAGATTTGAAAATAATATATCCCAGTATCCCACATTAACTTTCTAATACTCTTCCTCAAAACTAAAAACCACCTTAACTTTAAAAATCATAAAAACAATTTTTTTAAAAGTCTCACCTAAACTTTTACCAGGTAAAAACTGCAGTTACATATATTTCACAATGACAATATGGCACAGTACGTTTTCCCACCCAATATTTTCACTACAGAAGATCTATTTTCAAGGTTGTCAACTAAATCTCATACTTCATGATCATTGCAAAGTAGGTACTGTTTATACAAAACACTTTAATAGTTTTCAGATGAATTCTGAACTAGTTTTCATGCTTATTCTCCTAAAAAACCCCCAACTATTTGTACATTACCTTCCTTCCCCTTCAAAGCCACACTCCCTGGAACCGCAGGATATAACAGAGAGGAGAGGGTTTCAATCTAGCAACTAGTCTATCAAGTCACTGGGCAGAAGGGTCCACGAGGCCCACATGGTATATCTGGGACACAACCCATTCCAAGGACTGCTTTCACTTTCACTTCAACTTCTTCACATCACCTTTGATGTCCACATACACAAGCTGTCTGTCCTAACAGTTTAGCTCAGCCGTGGGCAAACTACGGCCCGCAGAACTTGTCGTCTAATGGAGAAGGTGATAGACACTGAACAAATAATTGCAGGTGTGGTGAGTGCTTCACAAGGAAAAACACAGGTGTACAGTGGGGCCTATAACAGGAGGGGCCAACGGAACCTGGGACAGCCCCCTGATGACGGTGCTGAATTCTGAAGAATGAATGGGGTAGAGCAGCCGTGGGCAAACTACGGCCCGAGGGCCGGATCCGGCCCGTTTGAAATGAATAAAACTAAAAAAAAAAAAAAAAGACCGTACCCTTTTATGTAATGATGTTTACTTTGAATTTATATTAGTTCACACAAACACTCCATCCATGCTTTTGTTCCAGCCCTCCGGTCCAGTTTAAGAACCCATTGTGGCCCTCGAGTCAAAAAGTTTGCCCACCCCTGGTTTAGCTTCAAAGTTCACTGGTCTTGCCACCAAAAATTGTCTCCATGCCACTTCAGTGACCCACCCCAGGAGCACACCATTGCGTGGTGACCACCTGGTGACTCCACCTCCGATATCTACAGGCACCGATCAGTAAGCAGGGCAGCATTCTGCCAGTGCCCTCACTTTCTGACTAATCACAACCATCCCTGGAAGTGATGTGTTCCCACCAGGTCACGAAATCCACATACTGTGCTACGATCACTATTTTCAAAGAAACAGGAACACCAGAGTGGAACGTAAATAAGAAAGGTGTTAGGAAACTTTAGATCAGTTATACTCACATTCGTGATTGGGGGGCAAAGTAAAATGTATTTCTTACCACAGGCTACAGTGAAAAAGGTTAGAAATATACTACTCTAAATGATTATACCCTGAATCTCCAATCTCCACCATTTCCTTCCCTATCAGTTGAAGCCCCAAGATCAATCACTGTCCACTAGCCTTTCGTCAGAACCTCCCCATTTCTGTTGCCTGGGCCCTCCAATAAATTGTGTGATTTAATCACTTGCTTTGAGCTTATTGGACTCAGCTGCAGGCAAGTCCTACAACTTTGTGGGTTGGAGACCTCTCTCAAGCTATGGTGCCTGCCTGCACCCCCACCACGTCCTG